TCTGAATGTAAGAGCTCAGCCTTCAGTCCTATCTGACATTTGCTTCCCCCAGTGCCACTTAAACGAATCTTAAATCTCCTTGTTTATCTTCTGTTTGTATGAGATGACTTTTCAGAGGAGCTGGGCAATTTCAGCAAACCAATATTTACGTGTGTATGCATGTATCTGCACAACTCCAAACACTTCTTTTTCTTTCCTTTCTCTTCTCTTTCATTGGTACATCTGCTGTCTCTGTCTCCATATGCAGTCTTACTTTTCCCATCTCTTTCTCCTTTCCAAGTCTTCCTCTCACATCATCTTAGCTCTAAGTATCGCTCCCTGACCCTACTAACATCACATTTTAATCAGATAGCACCTCCTTTTCCTCTTGCAAAACTCTGTTATATCGTTCACACTTGAAATGCAACAGATAGTTTAGCAAGAGCACATTTTTGCAAGGAACAACCAAATAAAGGGGATCCAAATCCAACTAAAGAGCCTTGCTTTCAAAAGGGTACAACAGAGAGTAAAGTGAAATTAGAGTTTCTAAAGCAAGCTGGAAAAGTTTCAGCAAAGTCTTAGCCCTCATTCTGATTACAGCTTAATTGGACACCCTGGTGTTTGAAGGGGCTCAGTGGAAAATAAAACAAATGTGCCTATTGTTCTTAGAATAAGTATTATAATAATAATCATTCTTTAAGCATCAGTAGTGCCTTTCATCTAAGGGCCATAAAGCACTGTGCAAACATTAATGAACTAAGCCTCTCAGTGCTCCTGTAAACAAGGTAGATATTTTAGACCGTTTTAAAATGAAGAGTGAGGTCCAACAAAGACAACAGCAATATGTTTCTTATGTTTGCAGTTGGTTACTTAAATCTATGTACAACTAGACCCAATGTAAGAATTGTCTGGTTTTCAGAAGTAATAAGTAACCTCAGTTCCAATGGCTTTTGGAAGCATGTAGCATCTTTAAAGCTCATTTCCCACTTCAGCTGCTTTAAAAGTATGTGCTCAGATGCCTCTCAAGATCTCTGTCAGAATCAAGCAACAAGCCTGTGCAAGGATCAGAGGAATTTAGGACTCCTGGTTCCTAGTCCCTTCATCTACACGAAGTCTGCCATGATTTCTGTAGCACAGCTATTATCCCATAAAGACCTAGCCAGTCTTCACTTTCAGCATGAGCAATTCTATTGAATACAATACTGAACACAGTGAATACAGTTGATTTGGTGTGCACAGGTATCTACAGATTAAACCTCGCTCACTTCCCTTTCTAGACTTCAGTAGACATACTTGGATGGCTTCATATAACCACTCAATAGTTTTAAACATGAAGTGGAGCTAAATCCCCAAGAAATTTTGCTTCATCAACACATGCTAACTATCTGGAGATTGGTTAAGAAATTTGTAAGCATCATTTCCCATGCGCTGGCTTAACAAGAAGCTTTTATCCTTGCTTTCAGCCAATCCCAGTGCTAAACAGAACACTGCCCAATTTATTTTTTTAACAAGGTTCTCTGCTATTGAAACCAGTATGAAGTGCAATTTATGGGCTTAACATTCAACTGTTAAATTATCCTCCCAACATCTTTCCAGGCCACTCTCTTAGCTCTTCAGAAGAATATTTTATTGGAAAGGGTAAATGTATAAAAATCTACTGTTAAAACACTTAACAAATCTCCCCTGTCAGGCCAGTAAACTGTAGTCCTTCCACTCTGATCTGAGATTGCTGCTTCCCTGCTCCCCCCCTCCCCACCTCCCTTTTCTTTGTTTAAAATATGCTGACCACACAGTGACCTCTCGTAACCCATTGGTCGAAAATTACAACCAGCCACACAAACAAGCAGCTCGAGGTCAGAAAGAGCAGGGTCTGCTAAAAGTTAGTAATCATACATTAATTCCCTGACATAATTAATCAAAATGAACCACCGTTATCTAGCGCGGAACCTTTAACCTATTACAAAGGGGTCAATTTGCAAACCACTTGAGCATGGGAGTTTGGTACAAATAGCATACTCCCTTCATCTGGGATGCCCTAAGTAGGCAAAAATGCCTTTGAAGTCCCAAATCTACCAGATTTAGATATAATTTCATCAATCAAGTTAAAAGGCTGCCTTCCCTCCAAAAAGGATTTCATGTAGATCTGTCATCTAGCTCTGTTCAGTGGGTGACTGAAAATCCATTTGTTAGGCTCTTTTTGTCAGGATGGAGTAGGCTGCAGTTGGCTCTACATGTCAAAATAGCTGAAAGTTTATCAAATTGAAGGCTAAGAGGCATGATTTGTGTAAGAACCTGTGCTGACCTGGTAAAGGAAGCAGTAAATCTCAGCTTTGTTATGCCAATCAGCTTCAATTCTGGAACTTAATTGTGTTTTCATTTGATATGACTATAATTACATCTATACAGTGTATCAGCCACTCACAGTGAATAAGACATAGGACTTCACACGTCTGTACAGCTCCCAGGATCACGCTGCCTCACCATCTTCCGTGCAGTCACCTGAGCAAAGTCCCTGTGAAATAATATTATCTCCATCCTATCCTAAAGGAAGGAATTGATGCCCAGAGACACACAGCCTCGACCTTTCAAGGATTTCAGTGCTCAGTTCCTTTTCAAATCTTAAATTTCCACCAACATCTGCATGAGTAAGGCAGCTCGACAGGAATTGGGAGCCTAAATACTCTTAAGATTTGGGTTTAAATGGCACGTCCAAGGTCATGCAGGAGGAACTCATAGCAAAGAGGAGAGCAGAATCCAGGTCTCTGAAGTCCACTGAATCAACTTTCCTCCATCAGATTTAAGATCCCTACAGTCCACAGAGTCCCCTTGAGTGTTATCTAATCCTCTTTCATATGTATCAATGCAAACACTCCTCCATATGTATATTTAATGTCTCTATTTATTGCATGCAAGAACGGATGAGCTGTAGAGTTTTAGAATATCATCTTATCCAGTGATATCATATATCACACAGGTGAATCTCAAGGGGTTTATGATGTTACCAAGACCCCCAAATAGAATTAATTTTAAGTCATTCACCGAATCTCATTTTCTGTGTCATATAATGTATGACCACAACAAAGATGTCAAAATATTTTAAATGACTTTACATTAGTATTAGTGCAACAACTGCATTTGGAAAGCATCACACCTACTTAAAAAGTTTCTGGGAAATGTAAAACAAAGTCATTGTTAAGGTCAGTGTTTTAGCAGAGGTCACTTGAACTACAATTCCCAATATGCACATGGAGTTGACATGTCTGGCTTTTAAAACAAAATCACAATTCATCATCTGAATGTCAGATCTGTGGCTTATGAGTTCCTGGTGTCTGAATGATTATGACACTTATAAAGTATATTTTATTATTACAGCCCACTCATTGCCACTCTCCATATGTGAAGTGATGGATATTTTAAATGTAATTCTACTTATTTATATTTATATCTTACTAGTGACAGGTAAAAAGCATCAACAAATCACGGCAATTTTTAACTAGTCAGAGACAAGATTTATTTTCAGTATAGTTAGTATGCATACTGCGGTTATTAGGAAGAGTGATTCCCACCCAGAGAATCATTGTTTAGTCACGTGTAATTAAAACAAACTCCCCAAAAAAAGGAACCTCAAAACATACAGAAATATCACACAAAGGTAAAAGGGACAATGGTAGAAATGGGCTGCGTATGGACTGCAGCATCTCCCTGTGCTGGAAGTGGCTGCTGGAATTTGTAGAGCTAAAGAAAAGGATGAGATTGCCTTCAACATACTATTTATTCAGCATGTTACCATTTCAGACTATTTAATTAAGTACATTATTAATTTATTAAGATGCTTCTGAACGTTAATTGTTAAAAAAAGTTAAGGCTGCAATAATAAAGAGTCCTGCAGTTCTTGCTCAGGTTCCTATTTGACCACCTAATTTTCCGTAGAACTGTGAGTAAACAACCTTTGCAATTAAAGACAGGTAATGACAAAAACGTATTCACATATGGAGGTGTTCCTGGACAGAAAAACATTCTGGCAGAGCATCTAACATATGCACTTTTGCTGCAGTGCTATTATAATCAAGACGAGTGAGCTCTGTACAGTCTGTAAGACTTTTGTCATTACTGCAGAGACCTTCAATAAGTGCAATGCTTCTTTCCCATCAGCTGGCATAGTTTCCTAGGACACCTTGACACGCTGCCAGACAAACCTACTGCCTGCCTCTGCTCCACTCTACACACTGCATGATCCACTACAAACTGCTGAAACCTTCACTTTGCAAGTGCCTAAAATGGATACAACTATAATTAATGACCTCTAAGGTCTCTGATAAAGCTATTTAGCATTTGCCAGGCACTTTGTGGGCTTTTGGGTCAAAAACAGTAACAGCAAGGTAGTATTATGAAGTTTCATCCTCAAGTTATAATAATATTTAATAGCAGGATCTTCACGTTGCTAGAAATAAAATCACATTGCAGAAATGTATAACAAAGAAAATGAAATTGAACACATCATCCATTCAAACAGACTTCAGGATTTACAACTTACAATCACAGAATTAGCAAGGTTGGAAACGACCTCTGAGTTCATCTAGTCCAACCATCCACCTGCCACTACTGTTGCCCACAAGCTATGTTCCTCAGTGCCACATCCCCACGGTTCTTGAACAACTCCAGGGATGGTGACACACCACCTCCCTGGGCAGTCTGTGCGAATGCCTCACCACTCTTCCTGAGAAGAAGTGTTTCCTAACATCCAACCTGAACCTCCCCTGGTTGAGGCTCCTGAGGCTCTCATCCTATCACTCTTTCCCAGGAAAAGAGGCCAACTCCCACTTTGCCACAACCTCCTTTCAGGGAGTTGTAGGGAGCAATAAGGTCTCCCATGGGCCTCCTTTCCTCCAGACTCAACAAACTTGGAGATGTTTTCTAGACCCGGACAATCACACAGCAATAAACCTGCTCTCACATAAGTAACTTCTGCAGCTGTTAACAAATGCGAAACAAGTGTGAAAATGCCAACTGCAGCACCTTACTTGCAATGTGAGGCTGCTCCAAGGTATGAATTATCTTGAGCTGATTCAGTAACATCACGTGAAGGACAAAGAGGTTGCTGGTAGCTCATTCTGCAATGCTGTTTGAGCTGCAAGGGCTTATGAGTCACGCTCCGGAGAGTCTGCAAGGAAAAACACATTACATTTTCCAGGCCACCAAAACTCAAAGTGAGAAATCTACACGTGTTCAACCCATTCCCTCCCCAACACACACAGTTTAAACCCCGGTGGGATAGGGAATTTATTTGTTAATTCTTGAGCTTAAGCCTTCATCTGAGGAAGAGACAAGCATCGAAGTCTCTCATCTCGCATGGAGATGAAAGTTTCTCAGTTGGCCTCTTCACTGCAGCCTCCCCCTTCCAGGAAGAGATGAATCCCCATGGAAGAAATCCAAAACCCCTGGCCACCCAGCATATCCATCAGAAATAAAAACATCTTCACTGAGAAAAATGCATGCGTAGAACAGAGCACAATGCAAGGCAAGCTCTGCTTGCACAGAGCTGTAGGAAATGAAAGGTAAAAGCCAAAAAAGCCAAACGGAGTGGTGTTAAGATAACAACAGGACGTTGTTTTGATCCCAGGAGATCCCGTGGTTTTTCTTTTTAATAGTGTCACATAGAGTAACTTATAAAGGAGGCAGGGAAGGTGACACAATTTTATAACTCTGCAGGGGCTTCACACCATGGGACAAGATTCCTATTGTACAGAGGAATATTGGAAAGAAAAGGGGGAAAGGAAAAAAAAAAAGAGCTTGCAAAGCAGATCTAAAATTACACCTATTCTCAAGGAAGATACAAATCTAGGCCAAAAGGATTGCTCATTACAATGAACTCCTAGGAACTTTTCTAGCAAACGCTTCACAGGTATTTATCAACTGAGCCCAGGGCAGGTGAGGAGGATCAGAAAGAAAGCAAAACAGCCTGCTTTCTCTCCACAACTCTCTCAGCCCATTTTCTACAACTGTAGAGCTTCTAGCAAGTGTGGCCAGGCCTTCTCTACCCGGAGATACTATACCACGCATCAAGAGGGCTTTTAGCTCTCTCTCTGTTCCTCCCATCATTGGCAGCAGGGGTAGGCTCCCATTGCACTAATGGGCTCTGTGTCACCTAAGAAGGATGCTCTGCCTCATACACACAACACCAACAAATCAGTTGCAAATCTCAAGCCAAAATGTGGAACAAACCCAAGATAATACCACCCTCTTATGAAAGACACTCATAAACAGTTAAGCCCAAAATAACATCAACTGGGCAGGTTCAGAGGGAGAAACAAAATGCAACAACACTGTGTGGGCATCTGCGATTCTGAAACGATAACGTGAATCCAGGACCATCAATCAATACAGTGGGATGAGTCCCCTGTCCCACTGTTGCTGTTGTGAGGTGAGGTCTCCAAAGATCTCTGCCTGAGCTAATTTCAGTTGTTTGCTGCAAAACTTCTTTTCTTCCCTTCCCACTCTGCATCACACAATGCTCTTTTTGGTGTTTCCGTTCACACTGCGGGCACTGATCCCTGCCAGGAGAGGTGTCAAAACTTCTAATAAAACGACTGCTCACGCAGAAAGTCTCACAGCTGAAATTTTGGAGCCGTACACACTCCCACACAAAGCAGGGCTGTCAGATCGGATTGCAAGGTGTCAGTTTACCCAATTCAAACCTGAGGCTCTGTTAAAAAAATGCACAACAACCCATCCCCCTACAGACACACACACGAATGCAAGACGTCAATCAAAAGTAATTAATAGTTTTCCTTCCTCTTCCGTTCTCCAAAGAATGCCAGGAGACAATAATCTGTGAACTCAAATGACTGATGAATAATATCCATGCAAAAATTAAACTGGTGGTGAAACATCCGTAGTTGTTGTCAGTGCTACCTGAAGGCCATAGTCCAGACATCTCAAATGCCTCTGCAGTGCTGTGCTGAACTGCTCTGCACAGTGTGGAGTCTGGGAGGTGACAGAAGGCGTCGGCGCAGATGGGGAGGACAGATGTGGGGTTAAGCCAGATGTGAGGGAAAGAGCTCGGGGCCAGATTGGAGCCTTCAGCACCCACCATTTACGTCAAGCAACTGTGAATGATCTCATTTCCCAAGTCATCTAGGGCAAATGTGGCTTTCTGTAGAGGAGCCAATGCTTTTGGGGGCTGGTGAAAAAATGAAGAATCCAATTGAGCTTCACTGAGACCTGCAGGGATTTAACCCAAACTCCTCCAAACTGAAGGGCAGAGTTCAGTTATCCAACAAGACCTGCACAGAAGGGCAGTGTTACAGTTTCCTGGCCCTTCACCTCAGCAGCAGGCAGCACACCAAGTGCTAGAATGCTACTTCCTTTTTAACAATTAGGTGTGCACTTACCTGCAGAAGGATACAGAGAGGCTATCAGGTCTGTGGCCCCACTCTCCTTCTCCCTCATTAACCCACAAAATCCAAGATCTGAAGATCTCAAAATGCCAGATCTGCTCCTAGCCACAACATGGATCACAGCTGCGTATCTCTGCTTTCCCCCAAACACACCCACGGATGTGTTGGATCCAATCCACGTGGATGGAAATGCATTAGTAGACAAGCAACTATAAACGTACCAAAAAAACCCCAACAACCTCCCTTTTTCTTCATGTTCCTTCTCTGGAAGAAAATCTCTCTCTTTAAAGCCTCCTGACCAGGCACATGGAGGAGGCAGACACACCTGGCTGGCAAAGCGAGCTCCCTCCAGCTGCGCGTGATCACCTCCCTTCAGCCAAACCACTCTGGCTTAACAAGGAGTGACTATTAAAACTATTGTGCAACTTCTGCTTTGCTACTTCCCATGCAGTTCCATATGTAAAGGCATGGTTCTGCAATTAAACAGTGAAGAGCAGTTTCTCAATGTATATGCTGAAATCCTTGTGTGATTACAGGTGGTAAATGACTCTAAATCATCCACTTTCACTATCTAATACACGCACTGCTTTTGTGGACAGACATCATATTATATGTTCTGAAGGTGGTTTTTTTTTCTTCCTCAAAGCTTTTTTTTGTTTTGTTTTGTTTTTTAATTTTCCTTTCCCATATTTTCGAACACATCGTCCTCTAATTCTACATCTAGCCTGAATGGCAAGAAGTCGCATGGCGCAGGTAGCTCCTCCCAGCCTGCTTGCAGGCAGCCTCACTCAAGACGACCACTACTACTCTTGCTATCTGTAAAGGGCCTTAAGTTGTTGCTGCAGCTATAACCCCATAAAGCTCTCTTCTTTTGTTCTCTTCCCGAGTCTGGTTCCTAGTACCCTTCAGACATTTTATTGATCTTTCTCCCCCTCTAGCTCATACATGCTAATTGTACCTCTGTAGCAAAACAATCTTATTATCATGTTAATTAGTGGGAGGGTTGTTGAGGGTTTCCAGTTCATTACCTGCTAATTTCAAGATAAATGAATCCACAGGTTACTAAGTAAATAAGGTCACCTATCAAGTACTTGTAAACGTGTTTGTAAACAAGGAGGGGAGATGGGGAGGGAGAGAAAGGGAAGCGTGTTTGGCTTGGATGGTGGGAAGTAGCTTTGGATACGGATTTGGCATCCCATGCTGGGGTGACTCCATTTCCCTTGAACTCATTTGTAATGGAAAGCGAATGTTTGCTGTCCACCTGGTTCCCCAGTGGGACGTTTCCTCCCTGCAACTACTTTGTGCGCTCAAAAGGCTCTTTGTGAGCAGATTACTCATTCGGAGGTTCGGTTGATTGTTGCTGCCTTTTGTGGTGAGAGCCAGGAGTGAGGACATGCACAAGGCAAAGCAGCACCAAAGGGGGAACAAAAAGCATGGTAGTGTGAGTCACATAACCTCCCCCTCCGCAGCCTCACGTGGCTCAGGGTTATTCATATTGCCTTTATACGCAGGGACACGGGACAAAGGGATTCAATGGGCGAGGGGAAATAAACAGTCAGATCCTCTGCTGGGGTAAAATGATATATTGCTTTGAAATCCATGTGTCTACACCACCCCCAAACCTCCAACGGAGATCTCTCCAAGTGGGGCAAGTGGATAAAAGGACCATGTAGAAAAGCCTATCTGAGCTATGCGGTTTGCAGAGGTAAAGTTATCAGCAGACAAAATGGAAAACGATGCTGAGTGAGCTCCCCCGGGGTCTGCCCTTGACCAGTTCTGTTCAACATGATTGTTAAAGCTAGTGAAATAAAGAATATGAGAATTAAATGTTCAGAGCACACCAAAGTGGGGAGGGCGGCCAGCTCTCAGAAAAAAAGGAAGGCAATTCAAAGAGAACATGATAAATTGGAAAGAAAAAAAAAATGGTCCAGCAAAAAAAATAAGGAATCACTCCTTGAGGGCAAGTTTGGAGTCCAAGACTGGGCAGGAACAAGACACGTGAATACAGCGAAAACCAGGCAAGGTGGTGATCCGTCATTAAAGGCATGAAGAGATGAGCAGACCTCAAGTTGAGAGGAGAGAACACTGACTGTCATGATGTTGCGGAGAAGGCAAACATCACATTAGCATTTGTAAGCAGGAGCGTTGCCAGCAGGATTCCTGAGTGACCTCCAGCCCATGCAGAGCTGGCTGGGGCCAGGTTTGGAGGGAGACATGAAAGATCAGAGCTTTGGGAATCCATCCTGTGAAAAAAAAATAAGGGGATAAGGGGGGAGTGGGAGGACAAGGAAAACAACTGTTTCAATAGAGGGTCTTCAGAAATGCAAAAGATGAAAGAAGGAAATCATTTACCCTCCACAGCCATACTGACTATGCCAGAAAGGAAAGAATTTACCTCAGGGTTGGAAGGATTCAGGCCAGGAGAAGTCAAGTGCCTGTACTCCATGTTTAGAGCCAGCTTAAGGACCAGAGAACATCCAAGACAGGTCTATTGGAGATTTGCATCCTTGTGAGGAGGCTGAAAGCTTGGCAAGGTACCGGCAAAGATTTAAAGTGTCTTGAGTTCAGGTATCTGAATGATTCCTTCAGTGCAGCTTCTTAAAGTTACGGGCAGTGAACAGTGGAGTAATTTGCATGAAGATGCTATAAAATCTTTGGAAGAAGCTGGCACAGTCTGCCTGCCTTGGAGCAGTGGGATCCAGTAGATCCCTACCCAGAACCTCCTCAGGTACCTCTCATTTTGTATATAGGCGAGAACTCACTA